AAAAAAAAAAAAAAAGCTAGGGTATAGCTCAGTTCAGTGGTAAAGCGCCCAATTAAATGCCTAGTATAAAAAATAAAAAAACAACAGACAAGAAGAAAATATGCAAAATACAAATAGCTGAAAAAGGACCTGTATACTGACAATATTAAGAATTTGTAGAATTCAATAAAAAGATAAATAATCCAATAAAAATACTGCAAAGAATTTGAATGATGACAAGTGTGGTGGCTCACACCTGTAATCCCAGGTGCTCAGGAGGCCGAGACAGGAGGGCTGAAGTCTGACACCAGCCTGGGCAACTGAGCAAGACAATCTTTAAAAAAAAAAAAAAATTGAACTGACACTTTTCCAAAGATGATATTCACATATAAAAAATAAGTACTTGAAAAGATACCATCTTCTGGCAAATGGGAAAATGCAAACTAAAATCACAATGAGGGGCTGGGGCTGTAGCTCAGTGACAGAGTGCTTGCCTAGTATGTGTAAGTCACTAGGTTCAATCCTCTGCACAACATAAAAAAAATAAATAAAATAAAGGCATTCTATCCATTTACAACTACAAAAAAATTTTTTTAAATCATAATGAAATATTACTATATTCTTCGACTGGCTAAATTTAAAAACAGAATATACCAAGTACCAGCAAAGATGTGCAGGATCTAGAATTCTTAAACACTGGCGTGGGAATGTAAATGGTATAAACAACCAGGTCGGGTAGTACACACCTGTCATCCCAGTGGCTGAGGCAGGAGGATTCCAAATTTGAGATCAGCCTTAGCAATTTAGTGAGACTCTAAGCAACTTACCCTGTCTCAAAATAAAATAGAACTTAAGAAAGAAAAAGAAAGGGCTGGGGATGTGACTTGGTGGTTAAGAGGCCCTAGGTTCAATCCCTACTACTGCAGAAAAAGAAAAAGGTCAAATAAGTAAATAAATGGTATAACAAGCATTAATTATTTTATTAAATAAAATAGGCTGGGGGAAAACTGTTTGGCTCTTTCTTAAAAAGTTAAATATGGGCTGGGCTGGGGTTGTGACTCAGTGGTAGAGAGTTTGCCTAGCATGTGTGAGGCATGGGGTTTGATTCTTGGCACGACATGTAAATAAATAAATAAAAATAAAAATCCTCAATAACTAATAAATAAATAAATATGTTAAATATACCTATACTATATGATACAAATGTTGTAATCCTACATACACTATAAAAAAATCTGGATACAGAATATGTCTAGAATGATTTTTTTGTGTGTGTAAAAAAGGGTGGTAGTAATATGTAATCATATTTGCTTATACATGTAAAAAGAAACTCTGGAAATGACACACAAGAAACAATAACAGGCTGGGCAAGGTAGCACACACCTGTAATCCCAGATGCTTGGGAGGCTGAGACAGGAGGATTTCGAGTTCAAAGCCAGCCTTGGCAATGGTGAGGGGCTAAGTAACTAAGTGAGACTCTGTCTCTAAATAAAATACAAAATAGGGCTGAGGATGTGGCTCAGTGGTCAAGTGCCCCTGGATGGCGAGAAAGAAATTTCTTTATTGTTTTTACATATTTATGCTATTATTACTATTGTTTTGCAGATAATGGGAATTGAACCCAGGGCCTTGAACATGCTAGGCAAGTGCTCCACTACCGAGCCATTTTTCTTTTTAAGAGAGAGAGAGAGAGAGAGAGAGAGAGAGA